GTAAACCATATTTAAGTTGCCTCAGTTGTGCAATGAAGAAGTGGAGAATACTTATCCATTGGAATTGGCGCTGACGCTAAATCAGGAAGAGATTGCCTCCGCTTTGGTTGACCACCATGCTAATGTGAATATTGTCGATGCAAATGGAGAAACGCTGCTGATGAGACTACTCAGAAAAAGTGCGTTTTTGTTCTGCTTCGTTTCCCTTCTTTTTTTTCTCTTCGTTTCTTTTTTCTAAACTTTTTAAAGAAAGTTTTTGATGTAAAATAGTGCTGAGAACAATAATCGACTCCTGAAAACTAGACTACCCGCAACAAGGCTCAGTTTGCAGATTTCCCTTGCGTTTTCTTCCTCCCCTTCTCAGCAATTCCCGTACCAGCTGTTTTTTATCGGTGAAATCAAGAGCAATGATTTTCATTTATTGTGACTCGCCTTAATGTTAGCAAAAGGCGTACTCCTCCGAATCTATTTTGCGCCTGCAAAAATAGCAAGAAATTAAAATTTATTTAATTCTTCTTAAATTTCTTGTTAAAAAGATGCGGTTTTTCTAAAATTTTTTCTCTTTTCTGTTGGAAGCCAAATGATAAACGGATGGCTCTGCCTTTTCGCTGATTTTCTCGGCTTCCTATTTGTTCCACTAATGTTCAGCGACGATCAACAACTTAAGCAGTGATGGCCTAACCACCTAACCAAGTAGAAGTTGTAGAATGCTTTCAAGCGCTCGAAATACCTATGAAGGTCAAAAAGCATGAGTTTTGTCAGGATGAATTGGCAGGAAAGCCATCGAAACAGGCTTTTCTAGATTTCTTTTCCTCCTGAGGATATACGCCTAGCATTGTGGCATTTTCCTGATTCTGCACCGTTTTTCAGACCGTGTTGATGCATTAAATTTTTTGCTGCAAAATGGCGCTGAGATCAATCATCGTGTCCAGAAAACCGGCAAAAATCTGTTGCATATAGCAGCTTCCACTAAATGTTCCAAAGAATTACTGGATTGGTTATCAGCTCATTTGACTTGTTTGCCGATCAATGATGTCGACTGCTATTCGAAGTGCTCTGTTGCATTCATTCCTTGATTCTTGTTTGTTTTGGCCCAACCAAGAAGTGTTCATTCCAAACAGGAATGTCTGCGTTGTGGTAGACGAGGGTTGGTAATGAAAACCTCAGTATCATGCGTAGCAGTATAAAATATTTAGGTCAAAAACTTCTCAGGAAGTCGTAAAAATGTAGAGTTGTTGAACTAACATAAGGGAAAATGGACGATTCAGGAAAATCAGACTATGAATTGTAATTTACTCAAGTACGTTAACCCCGTCGTGCCAGTGATTATGAACAAAAGGATGACCAGAAATTCGAAAAAATTAAATGACCAGAAATTCGAAAACTGATAAACGAAAAACCCTTATTTTCAGGACTCCGCTATTGTATGCTGTTGAGCTGGAAAATGTTGATGTTGTTCAGTTATTTCTGAAAAATTCATTGATCGATGTTAACATAACAGATCAAAAAGGACGTTCACCGATTTCATGTGCTCTTTTTGAAGTTAAAAATATGGCAATCGCTGAAATGATTGCAGCAACAGCTGGAGCTGATCTGGATATCAAATATGCTGGTTTGTGAATTATGCCAAGAATCATTAAATTATTCTGTAAATTTGTTGTCCAGCCCTGAATTCCTTCGCTTTTTTTCTAAATTTATCACAAAACGTAGGTTTATCATTTTTTTTTTGCCAATATGAATATCAGGGATTCAGTAAAACCGCCCGAAATGTTTGTCTGGGTTGCCTGTGTTAGTGATGTTACTGGGATACTCACCTGTATCCTTCGATTTTGGAATATTTTGAAGGAAATCGCCCGAACTTTTATTTTTTGCAGGTACTTACTTGATTCATTATGCAGTAAAAATCGGAAGTTTGGATGCAGTCCGATTACTGTGTGAAAAAAGGGCGGATGTGAACAAGAAGACGTCTGAGGTGTGCGCTTTTTTTTCCTGAAGAGTTATATCTGTATATCTTAACAAAACGCGTTTTCACTAAAGTACGCACATTATTAGCTCCAGACAGTCATGGTATCTATAGTTGAGGGCCCAATTCCGCGGTTATTTTCTCTGATCTTCCTGGTTTTTTTCCCCGTTCCTCTAACGGTACAGCACTTTCACATGCGTAAAAAAAAGCTTGATCTACTGGCAAGTTGCAAATCGATTTCTGTGGAAAACCAGTTTTTTAACAGATCGCTGATTCATTTCAATATTAAATTAGTACTGAAGCATAATTAGCAATCCGCAATCGATATCAGTGCATTTTTTAGTTATGTCTGTGAAAGTGCTCTGCCGTTGTTAGCCATGTTGTTGGGGGTGTTTGCATTGTGCCGGTACAGTTGAGCTACAACTTGAATGTGGGATGGAATTGGAGAAAGCGTCTTTGATTTTTATAGCAACTAATCTCAGTTGTGTGTTGTAGGGATTAGTGCCATTGCAATTGGCGATCGATTCGGAGCATTTCGATGCCCGTTTGGTCCGGCTGCTAGTAGATGCTGGTGCAAGCGTTTCACAGAAAATTTCGAATTCCAATATTACGCTGCTTCAACACGTTATCAGCAAAGAAAATGGCCATGAACTGTTGAAAATTTTCATCGAAAGTAAAACGTGTAATGGTATGTTATACACTTTTTCTCATTAGTTTTTGATATCCCGCCATATGCCTGTAATCCTCGAAGGAAGATCTCCTTCGACAGCCCTGCCAGCGGATGGTTGCTCTTGACATTTGCTACCCCTGGGGCTACTTCCCTGGTGCCTTTGCCTCTCGTACAGAACAAATTCGGGGGGAGTTTTGATTTTTTGGCCTAAATTTTTGTTAAAAGTTAGTTTAACTAGCTTCTCAACTATTTTCAGAAGGCGTGCAAGTTGCTTTCGTAAGTTTTAATCTTTCCGTCGACTTGGCTCAGTTATTTTTAGATGAAATTTTGGCAACAATGCATGCAACAAGCGGGAGCTGCACGCCTTTCTCAGAAGCGGTTCTGCTGGGAAAGTTCCAATGCGCTGAGCTGCTTCTTCGAGTCGGAGCCGATGTAAACGAATGTGATCCCAACGGTAAGTCTCTGCTGATGCGAGCCGTAAGTGCTGGACTGGATGATGCGGCTGTATTTCTTCTGGATCATGGTGCGAATCTTTCAGAAAAGTAAGTTATAACCAATATTTCTTTTCGTTATGTGCCGTTACAACCGTTAATTTGCCCTTTGATTGCCAAAATTACACATTGCGAAAATAAAGC